CCCCCCTTATCACTGATGAGGAGTTGGCACTGGTAGCGCTTTGCAAGGGCAGAATTCCCTCCACGAGCGACTCCTTCCCTTGTGACCCTTGCAATCGGGGTTGGAGGAGCTTCTTTGGGAGCCCTCCTGGAAGGAGCTTAGGAGGGAGGGTATGTGGAGCAGGGCCTTCTCCGCAGTGGTGCCCGGTGATGGAACACACTCCCAAGGAAGGCTGGCCTGGCAGGGTCCCTGTGTTCTTCCGGGCACCAGGCCAAACCTTTTCTTCTTTTCCCAGAATGTGGAGTTTACCTCGTGATGGTAATTGGGGTTCGCTGTACAGAACGGATGCTGTCCTTTCCGGCAATGTTGGGGAAGTGTGCCCTGGAACGGCGTTGCCTAGGCAGTATGTCCCCTTTTGCCCCGGATGAAGAGAGAATGCACCTGGGCAGAGCAAGGTCGCTGCGAAAAGCATCACGAGGGGAGAACACAGGATGAGAGGCAGCATGAAGATGAGAGGACGCAGAGGTCACTTCTTGGGATGGCTCCAAAATCTCCCCTGTGGGGCACGTGAGTGGGGCCAGTTTGGTGTCTCCTGTTCCAGCACTCCACATCGTCCTACAGCAGGTCTCAGGTTGGGTGCATGGGGGGTGGGCGCAGAGAGCAAGGCGGGTGGCGGGCCGGGCAAATGTGGCCCCAGAAAGCTGCCCCCACCCTCCCCCACCCCCACTGACTCCCATGGGGAGGCCGAGTGCCCCAAAGCTGCTCAAAGGGGACTGGGGATGGAATCGCCGGACTGGGGTCCCCAAACACGTTTTCTACGCTCCAAGAGTTGTCTGGATGATTACTGTCAAACTACTGAGGGGGAAATACAATAAGAAGATGCATCAAAGGGACAAAAACTTGCATGACACCCTTGAAGGAATAGTCCCACCTGCAAACGGGAGTTTGTCCAATTTTGTTCTCCCAAGGTGGCATATCAGCAGCTTTCCTGATGAGCTTAAGGAGCAACTAGGCAAGCAAAATGTTTACTAACTAGGCAAGCAAAATGTTTGCTGCATCCCTGAGGCTGGGTGTACAGCCCTTAAAATGCATCTGTCAAGGCAACGCCACGTACGTATCACGTAACAACCCGGAAATCATACAATAACCTGCTCTAGATGACCCTGGGAAATGCTCGAGCGAGTTGAATAAATGGCTGTAGCTGAATTTTATTTTAATTACGTACAGCAATTTGTATGGTAAACAATCATGCAGGAGGAAGGGCGTTTTTAATTAATGCAGGGATGCCAACTTCAAAAGAGCTGAGGATGGGGCGGGGGAGCCTTTCCTGTTATGTCAAAGCCCTTAGGGGGCTTCTCCTGGTTGACACCTTCATTCTGGTTGCCAATTTTGCGAAGCTGTCAAACGTTCTCGAGAATCAAGGCCACCGATCAAGACTTGACGGAAGCAGAAGGGTTCAAATCACACAAATTATCCCCACCACAAGGCACTTGACTATTTTCCCCTCCAAAGTGTTGACTGTGGAATATTTTTGAACCATGGCGTGTCTTCTGCTGACCTTTTTTTCTTCCTCCCGCGGGGTTCCGATCATGATACTGAAAAACATTCTTGCTGAAGTAAGGAAATAAAATTAAACCATGCAATATTATGCTCATCTTCAAGACACAGGGGCACAAAATGCCCGCTTTTGGACAATGCAGACACGTTTGCCTTGTTTCCTCTGAGAAGGGTGGTAGACATAATCAAAGTGCGCACTTCGACAACTCTGCAGGGCGTACAATGCACATGAAAAAATAACAGCATCTCCATATCAGATGAGGACAGGGTAGGGATGCGTGTATTGGGGATCTCCAGAGAGATGGAAACGTGCTTTTTGGCAAACGCCTTGGAAGAGGGGATGGTCACGCACTATGAGAAATGGCACAGGGTCCTTCTGCTGCTGCTTCCTCGGGATCCCACTCCCCTGCCTCTGCTTCCTGCGTGCAGGGAATGAGGTGCAGGTGGGCGGCATGGCCCTCATCGCTTCGGAGCAAGCGGTCCCTTTGCTGCCATCGTCTTGAGCCAGAGGAAAGCAGCCCGGGGCCTTCACTGCCCAGCCAGCGTTCGGGAGCGAAAGACCAGGCTCTGCGCTCCTCCCTCCCTCCCTGCCCACTCAGGGCTGGGGGAGCAAACGGGGATCTCACTCGCAAAGAACGTTCTCACCCCCACTCCACGCCCCAGCCCGCCGCTCGCCTCCATTTCCCTGTTGTTCCTGCCTCTTGACCTGACTCTGGACTCCTTCAGCCTGCAGCAGGATCTGCCACGGCTCAGCTTGGCAGCCACACAGGGGGCCAAGGGGCAGCTTTTGGGGGCCCCCCATTCTCTGCTTGATCCCCTTCACAACAACTTTGCTATGGCCACTTGCATTCTCTGTCCATCCTGCAAAGTGGAGAAACCCTGCCAATCAAACGTGTTGAAATGGGACATTTCCCGACCTCTACGCATGTGCCAAAGTTCTACCGATTTCCCCAGGGACAAAGGCGGGGAATCCTGCCATTGCAAAACACTGTCATGGGGAGCTCTCTCGTTCTGAACGTGCCTGCAAGCTGCAAAATTGGCGCGAGTTGACAATGCCGCAACGTCCATGTTTGGGAGCGCGAGAGCGACTTCATCTCCCTTTCTCTCTTTTTTTTAAATATATTTTGTAAAAATTTTTAAAGTAACACCAAAAAAACCCCATCAAACATCACAAACATTGGATTCACTGCGTCAACCTCCTACTACATATTTTTTGACATTAATTTATCATAGTTTGAAAAACATCTCTAAATTTACACCAAGTCCCGTTTCTCCAGCCAATTATAAAAAGAGTCCCAAGTTCAATAGAAAGCAGTATCCTCTTTCTCCTTCAACGATAAAGTCCGTCTATCCATTTCTGCACAGTCCAAGATCTTTCTTACAATTTCCTCTCTCTTTCTCAAAGGAAGGGTCAAACGCGCTCTCACATCCCTGCTGTTTACTGACAAGGCCTCCTCCAACTGGAGAGCTCTGCATTTGGACACATGAAATGCTTGCAGCACGAGGAAATGCGGGTTTGGAAGANTGCTTACTGTGAGGGCCTCTTCCCATCGGGCAGCTCTGCAAGCAGACAGTCACTGCCTGCAGCATGAGGAAGTGAGGACTGGGGAGAGACACATGTTCTGCATTGCTCATGGCCTTTGATTAAAGTACGTTTATAGCAGCAGGAGCTAATAACTCCTGTGAAGTTATTCATGAAGCTCATTTTAATCTGATGACAACAGCAGATTTTTGAGGGCAAATAATTAAGTTCTCAGGTGCAATGGGGCGTCCCTTCAGCTGGAGGTGCCCACGAACAGCGTATATAAGTCCTGCTGCCTGCACTCTTCCAACAACAGCCTCTCCTTCTGGCCTCCTGCTCGTACAGGAAGCAGGTAAGCAGGTCTGGATGGAGCGAGAGGAGTTGCTCTCTTGCTGCCGCACGCTCTGCCTGGGAGCCTGCATGGCTGCGGCTGCCTTCTGAAACGGGAGCTGCAGGGGGACCCAAGCAGGCTGAGACACCTCAGCCACCCCCCCCCCCCCCCCCCCTGGTTTTGGATCCCTTGGGGGGGGGCCTTTGCTGGGTGCTCTTCTGAGACAGACCATTAATCCACCTGGTCAGGATGGGCACCAGCGATTGATCGTGGCTCTCCAGGGTACCCTGTGGGTGGAGAAGCGCCATAGGGGCGGCCCACAGAGCTCCGGCAAGGCCTCCTTCACATGCAGCCTCCTCTGTTGGCCGCCCACCCCCAGCACTGCGGGGAAGTCAGGGGAGAGGTGCACGGAGGACCCCAGGTGCCACTGACCCTGCAGGAATTAGGTGGCCTTTCCAAATACGTTGCTCAGTGACCACATGTCCCTGATTTTGCTTTGGTCTCTTTCTCTCCCTCCTTCCTTCCTTCTGTCCATCCATCCATCCATCCTTTCTTCCCTCCAGCACACACACACACACACAGACACAAAGAGGCTTCAGAGCATGTGGAAATGGGGCTGTGCCAGTCTGAGCAATGGTTTCGCTGTTGGCCTGGCCTCCGATTGTCTTGGGACCAGCACAGCCCCTGCCAGGATTGCTCCTCGCCCGGAGCACGTGTGGTTTGGAGCGATGCCTCTCCCAGCACAGCCCTGCCTTGCCGCTTCTGCTCTGAGCAGTCAGGCAGGAGGGAGCTCCTGTGTACCTCATCATCCCGATCCTCCTGCACCTGCCGTGTCCACACAACACCAGAGAAGTCGGTCTGTCCCGGGGGTGGACCAGCTGACTATGAGAAGGTCCTTTTTGTGGCTCCATGTGCTGGTGGAAGTGACTCTCGCCCAGGAGCAAGCAGCCATTCATGGAGGGATTCCTCTGGCTCCCACCATCTCATGGCCGTGGCTGGGTGGGTGGGAGGTGAGGCCAACCTCCGGGCCTCCGGTGCTTTCAAGCATGCCTGAAGGACTGAGCTGAAGGGAGAACCCAGTTCCCCACTTTGCTTCGGGGGAGGCATCCTGCTGAGGGTGCATGAGGGTACACAAAACCCCCTAAGGACCAGGTGGGCCTCACTAAAGCTGTGCGCCGCATGACTGCTTCTTCCCTGAACGTTCCTGCAGCCTCCACTCCACCAGCAGCCATGCCCTACTGCGGACCCGTCTGTGCCGTCCCGTCCTGCGCGTCCAGCCCAGTGGTGGGCTTTGGATCGAGGGGACTCGGCTGTGGCTACGGTTATGGCTCTGGCTATGGCTATGGCTATGGCTATGGCTTGGGCTCCGGCTATGGCTATGGCTTGGGCTCCGGCTATGTTGCAGCAGCTCCCGCAGCGAGCCTCGGTGTGCTTCCTGGAGTCCAGCCTTCATGTGTCAACCAGCTCCCACCATCAGAGACTGTCATCCAGCCACCGTCTTGCGTTGTGACCCTCCCTGGGGCCATCCT